AAAAGAAAGTGGGAGACAATCAAAAAAACAACAGGGAGGACAAAAAAAAAAAAAAAAAAAAAAAAAAAAAAAAGGGAGGACCAAGTAGATAGTGAACACTCACCAGCACAACAGACTGACATGAAAGGCATCGGTCAGTGACAGGCCAGATTGCACAGAAAAATGAATGGAGTATCGGTGAGAGGCCACGCCCACAGACTGGGCAAAACCAGCTGAGGTGCAGCAAATCTGAGCAGTTGCAGTCATTGTTCCAAATGGTGTGGTGTGCACGGATATCACAAGCAACATGGCTTCCATATGCTAGGCACACAGGTGTGTCAAATGACACTTATGCAGGCACCAGAAATCCCCTGGAAAGACGATGATTTTTTCTGTCATTGTTTTTCCATAACCTTTTTCAAAAGTGTAGCCCCTAATTTCGATGTGTTCAACTGATTTGATGAGGACTTCTTGAACACGTGTTCTTTTTTTTTATCAGTTTGTAGTACTTTGTACCGTGCACTGGATAAGGATGAAATGTTCCCATGAGGCATGGGGCCCAAACTTCAAGATTCTTTGATGGCCACCTATGATTGCAAGAGGTGGAGAGCAGCAGGGAACTCCAAAGCTAGCATAATGGTACACAAAGCCACTCTGAAGTGGGGAGTTATTTGCGTCGCAAATTTTCAAAACGTGGTGAAAAATTGAAAATCCCATTGGGACCCAAAATGGAAATAGCACCTTCGTCTTGTTTTCAAAGAAACTTCATACCCAAAATGTAAGAAAGATTTAGCTATGAAATCATTAAAAACACAGCCACCCCAAAAAGGAGGATGCCAACAAGCAAAAAGACTTTAAAGAAGTAACACAACATGTCAACAATGAATGATGTTTCTCAGTCATATGACTCATATCCATCACAGAAGCNCCCCCCCCCCCCCCGAACAAAAAAAAAAGAAAGCAAAAATGATTTAGCTACGAAATCGTTAAAAACTCCCGCCCCAGAAAGGAGGATGCCAACAAGCAAAAAGAAGTTGCACAACATATCAACAAAGAACGAATTTTTTTCTCAGTCACATCTGTCATCACAGAAGCCCCCTCCGCCTCCCCCCCCTTTCAAAATGAAACCAGAAACAACTGCACACTTGCCCCCTTCCATGCACTTGAATCTGGATTGACGTCAACTTCATACCAGGTATAATAAACATGTCAAAGACCAAATGCACTGTAAGAAAGAAAGAATGCAATAAACAAGTTCTCTCTTGAAAGCTGAAACGAAAGGGATGGAAACGAGAACAATAGCTCTCCTAGACCTAAAATTAGGAAGCAGACAAAGTTATCTAAAGTGGTACATCGGTGCCGGTGGCTGCTGGGAGAGCAGTGGAGGACCAGCAAACAGGCCCAGACAACTACTGAGGACCACAACTTCAGATTTCAAACTAGATGGATATATCCTTCGTACATCCATTGGCAAACGCAAACCGTCTAACGAGTCCAACAAAATCTAACTTTCAACTTCATGCGGAAAGTCGAACCTCAAAGTTCGAAGCTACAGTACAAAAAAGTACAAAAGAGGAGGCACAAAAGAAATTAATGCACATTTCTACACAGAGCAATTCTTGTGCCTCCTTGCAGCTGCCAAAAGCTTTGATACAAAAATGTACAAAGCAATGCACATTTCTAAACGCAGTAGCCGTGCTGCAGCTTCCAGACGCTGGACCTCGGGATCTCCTGCTCGAAAAAGAGAGGGAGTTCCCTTGCCAGCAAAACACAGCCGAAACACGGTACTCTTATACGTGCATAGATAAACAGAGAAAATACAATCGAACAAAGCCTCCAATCCATTGAACAAATTGAAGGGAAGGAAGCAGTCGGCGAATACACAACCTGACTGAGGGTACGGTCGAAGTTCCTGCGACCGACTAACCAAGAGATTCGAAACCTGCCTCCGCAGGCACTTAGCATTACATTGGCTGCCCAACGAGTAGAGGCAGACAATACGAAGCTGATGGACAATACTTTACACAACACAAACATATACCATTGCTGCCCGCAGATGGTATGAAGCTGATCGAAATCTTGACAACCTGAGAGTTACCCACTCATAGCCTTGTCAGGCCTTATAGCTTAATCATCATCAAAATCATAAGGTGATCCTCCTCCCGCACATCTGCCTCATCTCACACATTCTGCAAAGACCGGTTTAATAAACACGTGTAAACCAGGAATCGATAAGCATCGCAGACTTTTGCGCCGACTGCCAGACACAAGAGGATTCTCAGACACCTGGTCACAACAGCCTTAAGGCGCTAGCTATTGCATCTCCCTTGGGAGTAAGTTCATGTACAAGTGACATCTACAGGACCACAAAACTACCGAAAACACAGCCAGCACCTCCTGATAAGCCAACCGAGGGCAAAGTTCACCTGGCTGGTGTTGGCAGCGCTGACTGAGGGCGAAGTTCACATGGCTGATATGATCAGTAAGCAGGAGTTTACACAGACAGTAGTTACACATTTCCCCTGACTGGTGCACGGAGCAAATACAATACTTTGAAAAATAGTCAGAACCTGTAGTGCTTGGCATTCCTTGAAAAATAGTCAGAACCTGCTGACAGACTGACCAAGAGGGGCATGGACGCCGCTGATTACAAGTCGCAGTTGACACCCTACTGCTATCCCAACATTTCCATTCTGTTGCTTGCTTGTTTCCAAAACGTTATAGCCAAGCCAAACAGGCCTCATGTCACCTGGCCGTGCATTACCAGCAGAATAAACATGGCTTCCCTCTCATGGACACCAGACAGCTGTTCCAATACCAGACAAAATGCAGCTTGGCCCAGGCAGTACTCTCTCTCTCTCTCTCTCTCTCTCTCTCTCTCTCTCTCTCTCTCTCTCTCTCTCTCNCACACACACACACACACACACACACACACACACACACACACACACAACACGGACACAGGAATGCGCATGCATGCTGCCTTCCCCAACTGCCCCTCTTTTACCTACCTGCCTGCCTACCTACCTGCCTACCTACCTACCTACCTACCTACCTACCTACCTACCTACCTACCTTCCTGCCTACCTACCTACCTACCTACCTACCTACCTACCTACCTACCTACCTACCTACCTACCTTCCTGCCTACCTACCTAACTTCCTTCCTGCCTACCTACCTACCTACCTACATACATACCTATCGCATGTCTTCCTATGTCAACTTAGGTGCAAGAAAAACCTGTACAAGAAGAGAATGGGTGCCCATGTACCTCCAGCGTTGTGAAAACCTGGCATCATAATCATACTGATCAACAACAGAAGCAGCTAGGGAGAAGGACCAGGAAACAGGTTCACGAGGGGATCAGAATTTTGGACTCCGATTCAGAACCATGGAGCCTGTTCCTGAGCACAGAGATTCAGGACGATGGAAGCAAATAGAGTTTAATAGACCTAAATCAAAGAGCCGAAAATACCAAAACATGAGAGCATACTTCATGTAGAACAAGAAATGCACATCATGCGAGGCTTTGATCTCGGGGCCGACATAATGTGCACACAAAAAGAACCACAGTGATATTCCGCTCCAGCATAAGAGCTGTGGAACAAGAGAATGCCAGGAATAATGTACAGAGGGGACAAAGAGTCCATGTAAGAGCATTGCTTCAGAACGACTAAGCAGCAATGTCAGAATGTCTCTCTGCTTACACAAGCCACCTACTTCACTTGCTCAAACCGTTCCCTGCGCTTACAAACTGAAGAGGGTGTTTCAGGAGGGTGGGTGCCGCCTCTTGCCTTCCACAGGATAAACGACTTGCATCAGTGAAATATGTATGAATAAACCACCAGTCTCTCTGAGGCAATTTTTCCCTGACGGAAACCTTTCCATCAAGTACTAATTAATCTGACTAGCGCCAGTGCACTGAAAGTACAACCTCTGCATATAGGGGCAAACACGCGGAACGTCTACAGAGACACCGGTGGTGAAACAGCTCCTCACATATTTCAATTCTTCAAGTCGTCCGTGGCAACCAGCATCGCCCTTCCCCCTTTCAGCACAATAACTACTACAGCTTGGAGGCAACAAGATTATGACCTCAAGGAGGCATACGACGCATGTGCTTTAGGAATCACAGACCCTGTACCGCAGATCTTGACTCAGCTGCATATATATGAGTTGGACATGTTCATTGCTGACGTTTCATGCTTTCCCTTCTGACGAGGATTTTTCGCAGCCAGCAAAGCGTGTGTTTCCGGCGTGGATAACGACTGTGCTGCTGGCTGCGACGACAACATATAGTTTACAAATATCCTATTTACTTGCCCTCTCCTGCTGATATGCCTAGCATGGCCATCCCTTTAAAGCACCAGTACATGGCCCCAGCCAAGTTGACAGTCCGATTGAGCCTCTCCTCAAACTTAGGAGGCTCGTGTGTCGTCGATTAAAATAAATCAACGGTGAGTGGCCTGACTTTTCATGCTTTCCCTTCTGACGAGGATTTTTTGCAGCCAGCAAAGCGTGCTAACGACTGTGCTACTTGCTGCGACGACAACATATAGTCTGTCTCTTATACACATCTAGATGTGTATAAGAGACAGGCCCCAGCCAAGTTGACAGTCCGATTGAGCCTCTCCTAAAACTTAGAGGCTCGTGTGTCGTCGATTAAAATAAATCAACGGCGGGTGGCCTAACTTTTCATGCTTTCCCTTCTGACGAGGATTTTTCGCAGGCCGCCAAACGGGGTTTTCGGCGGGGCTAACGACTGTGCTACTTGCTGCGACGACAACATATAGTTTACAAATACCCTATTCTCTAGCCCTCTCCGGCTGAAATGCCTTGCATGGCCATCCCTTTAAAGCACCAGTGCATGACCCCAGCCAAGTTGACAGTCTGATTGAGCCTCTCCTAAAACTTAGGAGGCTCGTGTGCCGCTAAAAATAAATCAATGGCGGGTGGCCTCCGAAAGGGGTCCGCGGCCAATGGCTCGCATGTACTGGTGGTTTAAGGTCTAGCCTCCAGGTCTGAGGGATACATAAGCCGTGCCTATGTGCTGAGAGACATTTGCTGGCCAACCTTGTTTGATATATTGCCACAGAGCTGCAACCTCAAAGCCAGCAGCCTACCCTTCCCGACCTTGTTTGCTATCATCCCAGGGGGTACGACAGCCGCTAGTTGGAGAGAGGTCTTACCACTCTGTAGTGAATGTCCGGAACATCCACGAGACCTTTCTGCAGCAGAACCTCAATGAAATCATCTCTCTTAACCACTTGGGAATCCCGATCCCGCAGTTGCACTGTAGTATCCAATGAGTTGTCAGTGAGTATGCCATTTAACTTCTGTTTCATACATGCCTTCTTGAACTTGATGAGTTCGGTTGGGGCATCACTGATGAGCTGGTAGACATGTACAGTTCGCTTCTGACCAATGCGATGGGCTCGTGCGACCGCTTGCCGTTGAACACTTGGGTTCCAGTGGACGCCGAGGAGGACCACTCTGGAAGCGCCCGTCAAAGTGATGCCTTCCCCGCCGGCTTGCACCATGAGGAACATGATCTTTGCGTAAGAGGACATATCATTTAAGTGGTCGGCTAGCTGATGCCGCTTGTCGGAAGCAGTTTCACCGTGGATCACCAGGATTTCCTTATCAACTGCCCATTTTTCTGTCAGGCTGTACTTGCTGAACATTTCAAGTAATCGGCCTTCTATACGCCAATCAAGAAAGACGAGAATCCTCTCCTTTGTCCCCTCACAAAATTTGATGAGCTCGAACAGGACTGCAAGCTTCCGGCTCTTTTCTGTAATACTGTTGTCATCTTCAGCGTCGTCCTCGGTCCCTTTGGCGTGAATCGAGATCCTGGACTCCAGGTTTTCCTCGCCTTTCCCACACATTCCCTTGGTGTTGGTGTTGAGGCAATTTTTCTTTGCCTCATTCATCTGGTCCTTCTGTTCATCCGTTAGCTTCACCATGAGAGCGACCTCATGGAGAGGGGGTAGTCCCTCTGAGATCTTACAGAAGTAAACAAACGGCTTAATCAACTCCTTCAGCCGTGCAATGTCATCAACCACTCCTTGCCACTCGTCATCCTGTCGATCACCCTCAATAATCCTCTCCATCTGTTTCCAAAACGTGTCAGGTATGGCGCAAACCTGCCCATTCCCTCTTCTTCCTGACTTTCCTTTCTCAGGATCCCTGTCTCTAGCGGGGAACTGAAACTCTTCGTTCCCCATCCTTGCCGGGCTCGCATTGTTAACATCTCTGTCTTTTGCTGGGCTCGAGGTCTCATCATTATACTTTTCCAGTGGTATCTCAGCCTCATTGTTATTTGGTGAGGATGTGGTTTCCTCATCTTCATCGTCTTCTTCCACAATAATCCGTCTTTGGCTACCAGATCTTTCAGTAGCAGAGGCATTTCGGCGTTGGGGTTCCACAGGTGGCGAATCCTTGAGAAGATTGCAAGTACCTGAACTTGTTTCCTTGCTTAGGACATTCATGTCAGTACCAAGTTCATTATCTTGGACAGCTCCAGAATTATTGGCAACGTTGTCATTTCCTGCTTGCCGAGGCTTGAAAAGGACGAGTGCAGAATTCTCACCCTTGTCGGCATTTTCTATACCAACCTGGACTCCGGCGACTGTCCCTGAATCGCAAGCATAGGAGCCATTCCGTCCCTTGCTCACTGGGACCATCTCTCCCCCGCCCTCCCTATCCTTCAGCAAAGGAGGAAGTTCTTTGCACTCTTGATCTATTTTAGCAATGGTAGAACCAGAATGGCTTCCAACGGAATGGGAACCGGCAAGGGCTAGTGCATAGCAACCCCTATTCTGTGCCCTTGCCAGGATGTCATTACCAACACCGTGGTTGCCGAGGCCCATCTCCTCCTGCAGAATAGGCAACACTGCCTCCGCTAGACCATTTTTGGGAAGGATGGCATCAACAACCCCTCCAGCATGCTCATACTCAACAAGGGCTAGTGCATGGCCACTCCTCTCCAATGTTTGGGAAGGGATCTCCTTCCAAGGCCAATTGTTGCCAAGGAGCATCTCTCCACGGTCATTACCATCGTCGTCCTGCACAAGGACTCGTACATCATAGCCTTGAATCGCTTCAACCTTGGCAGCGGCGGAATGACTCCCAACATGCTGAGGATCTACAGGAACAAGTGCACGATTGTCCACCTCCACTACTCCCGGGGGGATCCCTTTACCACCCATGTTGTCATCATCTGTTCTGAGCAAACAGACGCGCAAGTTCTGTTCTTCCCGTCTTTCAGCACCTGCTGAATGCGAAAGTGGTAGCATTGCCTGATTTTCACCTGCATCACTCGCTTCCCAATTACAAGGCAAAGGTGTTGGGAGGCTTGGGGAGTCAGAAACTGGTGGCGTGCATTGCTGCGTTGCTGGATGCTTTGCAGATGCAACATTTGCAGCTCTCTCCTTCACATTAGGCATAGGCACGTCTGTTGCCCAACTGCAGCCAGCCTGCCATTTTGCCAAAATACGCCCCACCATTGACGGGCGCACCAGGTACAGCTGATTTGTGAATTCCCCCATGTTGTTATTAAAAGGTGTTCCAGTCAATAATACCTTTCGAGGTGTCCGCAGACTCTGGAGGCTTTTGCTGAGTCCTGTGGTGTCATTTCGGGCACGATGGCCTTCATCGACAAAAACGACATGTGGGCCATGCAAAAGCATAGAAGCAACTTTCTCGCCGTCGGCAGTGGGTTTCTTATTGACCGTGGAGGAAGTCCACTTCTCTGGGGTAATAATGAGCACCCCGCCCTCATGGTACCACTTCTCAATCTCATTCTCATATGTCACCAATTCTGCAGGAGCTTTATCACGAAGACCGCATAAGCCTAGACTGTCGTCCGCTGTGGGCTGCCGTGACCTGCTCTCCTCAATCCGATCGATTCCACTTGCCAGGCCCTCTTCCTTGGGATTGTGTTTCCTGGGGCGCCCACGCTTCCGCATGGCCCTGTTACTGTACACCCTGGCTTTGTGCTCACGTGGTGCAGCGACCTTTTCTTTTCCACGGCATAACAAGTCGCCTTTACCTGGTTTTTCCTCATTTTTCCTTGATTCGGCAAGAGCCTCCTCACAGTGAATCCAAACTTGCTCCAAATTCGGATCCTGTTTGGGCTGCTGAGACCTGCCCTCCTCAATCCCATCCATTCTCCTTACAAGGCTCCCTTCCTTGACTTTGTCTTTCATAGGGCGCCCACGCTTCCTGACAGGCCCATTATTGTGCGCACTCCCTTTGTGGTCACCAGATATAGCACCCTCTTTTCTTCTAAGGCACGACACGTCAGAGTCATCATTTCCGCCAGCCTTTCTGATAACCACGGCCTTTCTAGCCACCACTACACTGACTTTGTAGTTCCTTGGGCGCCCATACTTCTCCATAGGTTTTGTAGGAAATCCTGTTCTTCCCTCACTGTTGTGTGCTTGCTCTCTCGCACTACAAACGTTCCCATTGTTTCTTACATTTGTCATGATCACCCCCGTGTTATATTCCTCTTTCCTCGGCCTCCCTCGTTTCCTCTTCAATGACTCTGATGCGCCCTTAGCTCCATCTATGCCATTTGTTTCATCCTTCCCATTGGCCCCATCCTTCCCATTCATCTCATCTTTCCTCTTCGCATGTAAGGGTGACTCCCCACTGACAAGATAAATCTTTTCCAGAAGAGGGTGCCCTTCAGGCAGCCATTTCTTGAACTCCTGCTTCCAGCTGACTAGCACATTCTTGGGGACTATTACCACCACACGCGAGCTGTCAGTCTTGGTGACTTTCCGCGTGAAAAACTGCTCAATAAAGCTGATGGCTTGGAGGGTTTTCCCTGACCCAGGAGCATGTGCCAGGATGCATCCACCCACTTCAGGTTGGGCTGAATGACTAATGAGGCTATTAAGCTGCTTCCTCCTGCATCCATTCCTGCAGTTGTGGTTCTGCCCTCGTACACCCATGGTGCTGCAACTGCAGCTGCGACACTCACCTTCCTGATTGACAATTACGTTTTCTGTCTTCAATCCATCCTGGACCTCATCTTCTCCTGTTGCACCTCGTCCTCCTCCTCCATCCAAACACACAAGACGCCTCCCTTCCACGAGTGGATCTCTACACCGTTTCACCTGGGCATGTTCTCCTTCTACAGGAATGGAACTTCTGCCCTCTGCAGCAGCTGCTTCTGGCATTGTTATTCCCACCTGGCTCTCATGCTGCTCAGACGAGGGGTCACGGCACTGCATGCTTTCCCTCTGCACATCTGGTGCACAAAAGTGCCCACAGCAACAAGGCTTTGCATCTGCATCTCCCTCATGGAACTGATGCTTAGGTTGGCACTCACAAGGGTTGACTTGGGGAATACCAACAACCAGGTTTCGCCACAAGAACTCAAAGCCCTCTAGCTGATGATCCTTCATTTTACAGGCAATGCGAGGGTGGGGTTTTGCAGGTTCAGATTCACTGCCGCAGGCTGTTGGATTCCTTCCCATGGGCAAGGGGTTGTAATCATAACCATGCGAATCAGATTTTGCAGCCACAACTAGTTGCATGTCATTAGCTTGTTGCCCTTCCAGTGTTGGTCCGCTCCTCTTGACCTTCTTAGGCTGTGGCTGTGTTGGTGACCTCTGTCTCGGTCTTCTGACAATTGTACCTGACCAAAACTGTGCACATCCAATACCCCCACAAACCACAGTACATAAATAAGAAAAAAGGGGAAGAGATTATAAACAATGCAGATCGAGAGATGCAAGACATAATTCCACGTGAAATGGAGCGTTAGTGGCACGAGACAACTTGTACGTATCCTAAACTTCCTTTCACGTTCTGAAGCAAAGGCAAAATTGAAAACATAGTATATACATCCGTATGGCCTAGGCATTTCAGGGATGTCTTTGCCTGGACAAATCCTTTGTTCCGTTCGTTATTTTTTTTCAAATGGATCCTTTTGCTCCTCACTCCTTCCCTTCTGGAGAGGGGCAGTTCGGCTCCTTTTCCACAGGCAAGCAGGGTTGCACCCCTGCCCAGCGCCGACCGGATTCCAGCCGACCGGTCGGTGGACCGCCGACCAGTTGGCAGAAGGCCATCCACTCTGTTTTTCTCGAATTTTGATTTCGGAGCTGCACTGCACTAGTGCTGTACAGCCCAAATCCACTGAGAAGCTTTATATTACTGCACTTTGTCTTCGGGGGGTTGGCAGGGGGTGCGTGAGGGGGGGTAAGGGAGAGGCCTGGTTGGTGGTCCCGAGGGGCTGGTTGGGGGTTCTGGGGGGATGGTTGCGGGTTCTGCGCGGCTGTTTCGGGGGCATCTAATGGAATTGGGGGGGGGGGGSGCTTCATCGGGGGTGGGCAGGGGGGTTTGGGGAGGGGTTGGGGGACGCTTTGCAGCATTTTGTAGACGAAAAGACAGACTCCTGCCGTCCCATGAGGCGGGGAAAAAACAAACAAACAAAGTTCACTCATCTGGAGAAAACCACTATTCAAATAGAGTCGGACTGTCCTCGATGTCCATTAACTGAGCCAAAATCCAGTCCGAGCTAGTGAAGCAGATGAGGAAGAGGAAGAACCAAGGCGAAGTAACAGAGAGCTTGAAAAAAGTAGAGAATAAGAAACCTCTTCTCTGTCTCTCTATGAGCATCTGCACAGTTTCATTCGCTGATACTTGTGTCCCTTCATGAACTTGTCGCCAGAGGTAGAGGCGGAGAAGCCGGAGCGCCTGACGCCTCGGATGGCTTTGATTACTCGCATGACATGTCGTCCTCTGGCGCACGATTCCTCTTCTTCTGCACAGGCCGGGTCGGTGATCGTGCGGCAGCAGCCGCTTTCTTCTGTATTTTCTGTGCCTTCTTCTTCTTTGCTTCTTGAACAACAGCACACTTTTCTTCCAAGCCCTCTGGCGTTGTAATGGTCTTGCATGCCTTGCTGGAGCAGCTGACGCCTCAGATGGCTTTTATTACTTGCACAACTTGTTGTCCTCTTGCACACCCTTCCTCTTCTTCTGCACAGGCCGACTCGGTGATCGCGCGACTTGAGCAGCGTTCTTCTGTATTTTCTGTGAAATCTTCTTCTTTGCTTCTCGAACAACAGCACACTTTTCTTCCAAACCCTCTGGCGCTGTAATGGTCTTGCATCCCTTGCCCCTCCCACCTCTTGTCTTGGATGCACTACCTCCTTTGGCTTTTTCTTTGTCCCTTTCTTTCTGCCTGCAAAGCTCTTCACATTGCGCACCTTGCTTTCGACAATTTTGGACTGCGACGCCACGGGACGCCGTGCTGCACTGTCCAACAGAGTCGTAGGTCTGCCCACCTCAACACCCGGGCATGTGAGCCCTCGGCAGCAAACAGTGCACTGTCCTCGCTGAACCGTGGAACAGGTGGGGTCGGTCCAGTGAATCTGGCCCAATCAGGAGTGTATGGCCCCCCTCATCTGACCGCAATGTGGACAAAGGAGGAGGCAAAACAAACTCCTCCCTTTGGGGCAAAAGCGAGGTGATTCTCTTCCCTGAGAGCACCCTGGATCTGGAGTTCACAAAGCATTACCACCGTCTTCCCCCTAACAATACGCATGTGCGTTATATTTGAATTTCACGAAGAGAAAATTGTTGTATTCGAATATAACCTTTTTTTTTCGCCCCCCCGATGGTCAACGCCTGCTCCGTTCTTGCCCTGGTGAGCGGAACAGGCCTGTAATCACAGATCACGGCCCATGCTCTCTCTCTCTCTCTCTCTCTCTCTCTCTCTCTCTCTCTCTCTCTCTCTCTCTCTCTCTCTCTCTCTCTCTCTCT